AAGCTTCTTGGATGAGAAGTGAAATGTCTTCAAGCAAAAACAAAAGGCAGTTGTCTTTTGAAAAACACCTTTGGGACATTGTTTGATATAAAGTATGACAGGACAGAATATCAGACTGGTGAATACCTTCTTCTTTTCCTTAACATAGTTTTAAAAGATATTTCTAGACTTACAGTTAAATAAATTATGAGCTTCATATTATATAGCTTCAACTAGAACCCATGATAATATTACAGGTCTTTGCATCAACATTATAATATTTACTTAATTTGCTTTATTGACATGTTTTTTGTAACCCTTCTGTGACATGCTATTATTTTTCCTTCTTCTCATCCTATATTTTCCCTGCTTTCAGTTTTATTTTTGCCTTCATTTGAAGCAGAATGTAAGCATTAGCTCACTAACTTTTTTTACTCTATTTTTTGTAGTGTTGTCCTCTATAACATTGCATTTTATTTTTGATGCTAAGGTCATCAGCTTGCAGGAACTCAAAGGTAGGAAACTTGTCAGCTATAGGGGAACTGTATATTTTTCATACAGGTTCTATAATATTATGTTTAGATTCTGTCTTCATATTAATCCACAAAATATAAGAATTGGTTTAATCCACTTTTTGTCTGCATCCCCTTAAGTCTGTGGAGAAAGGGCACGTTTGATGTCAAGAAGGCCCCAAAGACTTATCTCAAGCATACCAGACAGTTTCAAACATCTGATTCTTTGCTTTAGCCAAGCACCATGAAAAAAAATGGTCTTCAAATTTATCCCGAACAAAATAGATTAAAGTATATGAGATTTCTGTTTGCATTGCTTCTGGGGGGGGGGGGATGTATTTCCTGTACTCTGTTTTGCAAGTTTTGGCACCAGCACCCCTTCAATTGATTTTTGCAGGACAGCCAAAGAAATTGTTCTTTTTGAGTCACTGCGTTCAGCAATAGTTGCAGCCTCTTTTAGCCAATGGGAACCTCAATAAGACATAGCAAATGTTCTTTTTTATTTTCAGCAGCAAGAGATCCATCCATACATTTCATCTCTAGTTATCTTTATTGTTGAATGGGATTATCCTTTTAGAGTTGTATGTATCTTTGTGATAGGAGATAATAAAATAACTTTTTATTATTTCCCCCCCCCATATGTATCACATTTTCTCCAAGCTTTAATTGGTTTCAAAAGTGGGCATATCTTTTAGAAAGAAACTTTTAATAGTCTAAATAACTCTTATATATTAAAAATAGAAGGTGGTATGTGTGCATCTGCATGTAATCGCTGACATGGGTGGGAGGAACATCCTGGTCATGGATTCTCCACTACAGAAAGTTAACTATGGCAGGAAAGACTCAAAGTGTTACTACTTGTATTCAAGAGTTTAGCAGAATTCAGGGGCTGCCACCTAAGTATAATTTTGACTGTCATAGCTATTGTGTTTCCCTGAAAATAAGACCCTGTCTTATATTTTTTTGAACCCCGAAATAAGCACTTGGTCTTATTTTCGGGGAGGTCTTATTATTTTGGGGTGCATGGAACAAGATGGGGCTCCTCTTGCCATCTAACCTGATTCCAGCTCTGTGTTTAAATATTTTCAGGGAGGGCTTATTCTCAGGGGGAGGCTCATTTTAGTGCATGTGTTCAAAAGCCCGATTGGGTTTATTATCAGGGGATGTCTTATTTTCGTGGAAACAGGATAGGTAGTTAGACAGATACATATATCTAATAGATGCCAACTATTTAAGATATAGAATTACAAAGAAGTATTGTGCTCAATAATTTGGGGACTTGATATTTTACCCTAATATAAATTCATTAACCTTTTTTTTTTTTTTTTGCATTTGGGTATATCCAAAAATCATCAAAATAATCTGAGCACAAAAAATTTAATATAAGGATTAAAGTGTGGATAGTGAGATGGAGGGACATATAATTTTAATAAATAAAAATAAATAAAGTGGGATAGGAATGGTAGGCCAACATATCTGGACCACAAAAATTCAGATGACCAATTAATGGCAGCAAAGATTGGAATTTTCTATGTGATTTTATGGCTATCTACTGGTCCTCCAGATAACTGCCACCTACATATGAGATGCTTAAGCTTGGGAAATTTTTTGATTTTGGTTTATGAAGAAAATTTTCAGCCTTAACCCACAACTACCCAAGTTCAGCATTCACAGCAAGGCATAAATTATTCCTCCTTCAACAGTACCTTAACTGGATAGAAGGCAATTTAACCTAGCAGAAACAAGCCTAGACAAAGCCTAGATAAATCAACACAATCCATTTCTTTTCTGTAAGGAAATTCTAACTGAAGGGAAAATTTGAACTTGCTTGTGTTTCTTGTGCATGTAGCTTCTGAGTTATATTTTCATAGGTATTTCTTCCAAGACAAAACTAACAGCTGTCCATGGATGATAACTAAGACAAGTATTCATATTCATTCTATATCACATTTTGGGTTTTAAACATGTTAAATAAAAAAATCTAAAAAATGGAACCAATTGACACTTGCTGCAAATTGAACATTTTTTAAAAATGGATTTGGGGTTAGAAATTCAAACTATGTTTTTCAGCTTTATTTATGTAGCTACTCTAAATCAGACTGAAGTAGTTGTTTGGTTGCTACTGATTTTAGCCTTTCATTTGATGGAAAAATCTGAAAGAGAAATAAAGAAGCAATGTTGTAATATCCATTTATAATTAATATCCAAGTTCTTTTGTTACTTTATTGAATCCAGCACTATCAATTTCTTAGTCCTCTGATTATTTCTATGCTTTCTTCCTTGCATCTTCTACAGGAAAGATTCAGACTTATAAAATTTGTCTTCCTTTTTTTTATTAGAATACTGTGAGACACCAAGTAAAACGTATGTAAAACAGATTACACATAAGAAATCTTGAGCCTTGGGATTTCTTTTGAACAAGCAGAACAAGGACAGCGGAGAATATATGGTATCCATGTACAGATAATCCTTTTTAGCTACCAGTTGGGATTAGCACCTGAGTTGTTAAACTAAGTGTCACTAAATCACTAAGTAAAACCACAGTTCTGTTTATTATCTGCTTTCCTTTGCTTTACAGACCTGCAAAGGTCATAAATACAAAGATTGGTTATAACAGGGCTGTCAAACTCCCGGCCCGCAGGCCAGATGCGTCACGCGCTGGCCATGTCCACGCCTTGTTTAGCGAAGGGGAAAAAAGTCTCGATACATCATGTGACGACGCCGTGACGATGTGAGTTTGACACCCCTGGGTTATAGAGTTACTTTTTCATCATCATCCTAATGGCAAACGGTTGTTAAATAAGGCAATCACTAATTGAGGTCCACCTGTAAAAATCAAGCCCAGTTATACTGTCATCATTTCAATAATACAGGAGAAACAAATTTTGTTGTACCCAAAGTTAAACAATTGAGGTATACAAAAAAACAAATCCCTTACTAATCTATTAGGAGATCTAATGGTACCTTGCTAATAACCTGTGAGAAGTATGGTATATCAGTAAAATTATAGCATGCTATCATCCTGGATCCATAAACATTGATATTATTCAGAAGCAGACTGCCTTTTGATACTGGAGCTAACATACAGCTATAAAGTCTAGGATACTCTGATACATATATTTCCCAATTTGATTGAAATTGGTGACCAATATTGTGTCTTTTAGTAAATCTCATAGTATTACTATATTGTATATTATATGAACTTCTTCCTTTTAGTTGTCCTGAATCACTTATTGTTCAGTTCATTGGATCAGGGGATAAAATGTTTTCTAGATAGTTTTGCCATATCATGCAGAATGTTGTAGTCCCCTTCAAGGCTTTTTTATAAGCTACCCCTGCTTCTCTTCCCACAGATACAAGTCTTGTAATTTCATTCAGAACTCTTCCAAAATGCAGGGACCACAGTTTATACCCTGGTTAAATTCTGAGGTCGGTAAAATGAGGACTTACATATATGCTGACTCTGTAAACCACTTAGAGAGGGCTGTAAAGCACTAATGAAGCAGTATATAAGTCTTAAGCTATTGCTGTTGCTATATATTCTAGAAAATAATAGGCACTTTCCCTCCCGGCTGCTAATTAGTTATTGGGTTTTTCGTCCTTTTTCACTCTTGCCACATACTCAATCCACACTGTATCAAATGGTCTATCACAGTACCATAACCCTAACCTACTTACTAGCTCAGATTCTATCAGCACATATGTAGGTTAGGATTTTACTCTCTTGTCTCATTTTACACCAACTTATATTGAATAGTATTTGGTATTTTAATTTACTTAGTTGTTTACATTTTTAATATTTGGACCCATTCCAAAACAAGCCCTATCATTTCATTAAAACAAGAAAACCACAATCCAACTCAGTACATGGCAACAATCTTTACAAATCTAAGACTCTATTTATATAGAAATGTAGAGATGACCTTGGAAGCCATTAAAGCAGATAAAACAGTAATTCAGTCCTGGGAAAATGGAAAGCCCTAGGAAAGAAGTTCAAAATAAGTCCATCCTGATTTTTTATTTTTTTATTTTTTTGCTTTAAGGGGGAACAGAGAGAAACTCTGACAAGTTTTCAAGATTCTGTCATTGTTCCCTGTAACAGTAAAGTAGCATTACTGGAATCCTTGTGATGTCAGTCTCCAGTCAAAGAGCTATGGAACAGTTCTTTTTAACTTCAATCAGAACAGAGCTTGGAAGGACCTTGGAGGTCTTCTAGTCCAACTCTCTGTTCAAGCAGGAGACTTGTTTTTCAACTGCTAGTAGGGATAGGTACCATCCAAACCAGGGTGAAATGTTTCCAGTTTGGACCGGATTGCCCGATCCAGTAGCGATGGCAGCGGGTGGTTCGGAGAACCAATAGCAAAAATCCCTGCACACACACCCCATGCCCAGCTGAGCCGCGCGATCATCAGAGGCTGTTTTTTTTACTTTTAAAAGCATTTTTTCTACAATCTGTTCCGCCGAAAAGATGCTTTTAAAAGTAAAAAAAAAAAAAAAAGCCTCTGATGATTGCACGGCTCAGCTGGGATCGTCAGAGGCTTTTCAAAGCATTTTTTTCTGCAACCTCTTCAGCCGAAGACGCTGTAGGAAAAAAAAAATGCCTATAAAAGCCTCTGGCGATCCCAGCTGACTTGCCTGATCGTCAGAGGCTTCTAAAAGCATTTTTTTCTGCAACCTCTTAAGGTTGTAGAAAAAATGCTTTTAAAAGAAAAAAAAAGTTGGCCACGCCCACCCAGTCACATTACCCCCCCACCAAGCCACGCCCACAGAACCGGTAGTAACAAATTTTAGATTTCACCCCTGATCCAAACCTTAAGGAAAGTTTTTTTAAAGGATGAGACAATTAGAAAAAAAACACAGCACAACGCTACCTTCTAGTCCCTACATAGCCCCTACCTAGTTATTTCCTACCTGAGAAGATAGGGACTGAAACAGTGGTGGTATTCAGCTGGTTCTATCCTGTTCGGGCAAACTGGTAGTGGCAGCTGCAGGAGGCTCTGCCCACCCACCTGGGCGTCATCACATTCTGTTTTTGACGTTCTGCGCATGTGCACAAAGTTCTGTGCATGTGTGCTTGCTCATATTTACGAACTGGTAGCGAAAGTAAGTGAATACAACCCCTGGCCTGAAGAATATGGTTTTGCAAATATATGGTTAATTCAGTGGTGAAATTCAAATTTTTTTACTACCAGTTCTGTGGGCGTGGCTTGGTGGGTTTGGTATGGCTTGGTGGGCGTGGCAGGGGAAGGATACTGCAAAATCTCCATTTCCACCCCATTCCAAGGGAAGGATACTGCAAAATCCCCATTCCCTCCCTACTCCTATGGGAAGGATATTGCAAAATCTCCACTCCCAACCCACTCTGGAACCAGCCAGAGGTGGTATTTGCTGGTTCTCTGAACTACTCAAAATTTCCGCTACCGGTTCTCTAGAACCTGTCAGAACCTGCTGGATTTCACCCCTGGATGAATTTAATCTTTATTTAAGAAGCTCTATGCACAGGCTGGTAATATCAGAAGAAAAAAGTGCTGCAAGCAAAATAAAACTCTAGAAAGAGAAAGAAGATCTGAGAACTGAGCTTAAATAATGATAATAGAAAGTTTGTTGTGGAGTGAGAAAACCAGGATAGAGAAGGAAGTGGAATCTCAGAAAGAAGGTAGGAGTGTTTTTCTGAATAGGGTTACTCCACTTGCCTTGGACATGGATTGCATATGCTATAAAAATGTTTTTTTCCTGGCTTTCTGCTGGCCATGGTGCTTGAAAAAGGCTGCCATGCTTTGTAACATTTTTATGTCTCTTTAAACTTGGTCACATCTTTATTTGGAGATGGCAGATATAGAGGACAGAACTGCCTATTTGGTCCTAGAAGCAACAAGCAAGGGAACCAGGCAGATAGATAGCTTCTTTTTCTCCCTCATTTTCCATTGTTTTCTCATAGGATTTTACCTGGATAGGAAAATATCAGAAAATACAATTAAGGAATCCATGTCACATACACCAAATTATATTTGCATCATGTTCACTAAGTCTCTAAATTACAATGCATCAAGGTGACACATTTGTTTGGAAGGATACTCTTGTTAATATCAAAGGATGTGTTCATGTGCCATTGAGCTTTTTGGGAAAATGTGCATGACCTTCAGTCTATAATGGAAAAATAAGGAAGAATCATAATGTTCAGCCTCTACAAAGACAAAAAGATCTCATGTTATTTCTTGGGAAAGGTCTTGGCTCAAGATATTTTGCTATCTGATGTAAGGGAACAAATCTCCCCCCCCCAAAAAAAAGTGAAGGTCCACGATGCCTAATGCCAAAAAAAAAAAAAAAAAAAAAAACCACTTGAAGGGGAACATCTCACAAGCATTTTTGGTCATCCTTTCAATACAAATAAAATCTATCACCATGATGCCTTTTGAAAACCCATAATCTTCTTGCCAATAAAAAGAACCAATGTGGTCCCTGAAAGTATGTATTTAATTATTCTTTATCTTTAAAGGCACCATTTACACCTAACAGAATAATTCTTCTCCTTCCCACATCACTTTGAGAAAGTGGTGCAGCATCAATGGTTCATATTATTGTATCTCTGAGGGGAGAAACTATTGCCAAAGATGTAGCTTGATTATGATATGCAAAGTTCATACCTAAATATTTCTTCTTCTTTTACATGAAAATACTTTTTATAGAGAGTTGTCGCTAGAACACTAAGCACTAGCTTCTGGTTTCTCTTTCAGCATAGAGTAGAACCTGCCATTTTACTTTATATGGAATGTTATCAAAATCTTATAATGAAAGTTTACTAGCCATTAATCATTATTTAGTGGCAAAGAGTGCAATATCATTTCCGGTCTAATTTTTGAGTTTTAATGCATCTGTGTGACACATAATTTTAATTCAATATTTATTTGTACCTACTCATTGTTCCAGGTACCTCTCTGATCATTTAAGACATCATAAAAGTACATAGACACTGATTATAGAGAGATGATTATAGTGCAGGGGTGGGCAAATGTGGCCCTTTTACAACCTGTGGACTTCAACTCCCAGAATTCCTGAGACTTCTTCCCAAGCTGTCTCAGGAATTCTGGGAGTTGAAGTCCACAAGTCTTAAAGCTGCCAAGTTTGAAGACCTCTGTTCTAGAGTATGCAATCTTTCTCTTAACTCCACCCTCAGTAGCCACGTATATCAGTTATTTTGGAAGTCAGTTCAGGCTCAGTGTCCTAATCCAATATTTTTGTAAACCCAGTAAGCATCTGCAGGGAAATGGCACAATGTTATCCACTGTACGCAGTCAAGCCTAAATTAAGACAGTGGCATCCAAAGATAAAAGGCTTTTAGATAACAGAGCTGACAGGCACATCTGCTTAAGATTTGGAAAGCCACTGCTTGTCAGAACAGACAAGGCTAGATGTACTGAGAAACTTCATATAGTCTCTACAGCCAGTATGTCTTTATGTAGACATCCCATTGTATTTCAACTTTTTATTACAGTCAGGCACTGGTCTAAAATGGATCTTATTCTCCACTGCAATAAAACAATGTAAATCCCTAGCACACAGGGATTTCTTTCAGTTCTCATGTGTAAACCACAATGGATTTGTGTGTGCTTGAAAATCGAATAAAGACTTCACTTTTTGTGGTGAATAAAATTGCTATTTAAAGTTTTAAACAATGCTACACATTGGTATAGCGTAGCCAACATATTTTAAAAGTCATTATATTTCCTTTACCTATTTTAATTATTTGAATGTTTGCCCCATTTTTTCTATATTTTGATAATCTTGTTTTGTACATCCATTGCAGAGTATTTGCCTCACATCATTTTCTCAGGCTCTTTTCAGTATTACTTGATTTTACTTTCTACAGCCTATTTAATGACATACATGCTTTTTAAGAGTTTGCAAGGCTCATGAGTTATTTTCAGTTAAAATATACAGGCTGCACAGCTGCACAATTTCTATTTGAGATTGTGCTTAGATATATTTATATTATCGTTACTATAATTATCATTCTTAAGCTTTTTCAATTTTTGTTCATTTTCTCTTACCCAACTAATTAAGGTGTTCAATTTTTGGAGGGTGTGTGTTAAAAAGTAATAAAACTTACCTACTAATTCTGAGAAACAGTAAGCATTTGTTTCAGTAAATCAAGTCTTCCATTGGGTATCAACTGGCTTCATCCATTATTTGTCCTTCTGATGATTAGCTGATTGTGCATGAACTTCTTTCTGAACATAGGAAACTGTAATGAAGAAATGAATTTAAATGGATTTGAGAGATTTATAATTACTGCATGTTTCAGATTTCAGTTAGCTTCTTCTGCAAGCCATCTTCACATACCTCTTAAGTGATTATTTTTCTTTAACATTGCCAGCCATTAGCAATATTTTGTTTTTATCTGTGTTGTTAGACGCTAACTACAGTTGTAATATCTATAAAGCTTTTCAGGATTTCCCCAAATAAGCATCTGCATTGGAATCAGCATTATCAATTTACACTTAGGGGCTAAGAGATTGAAAGTACACTGCTGAAGCCTTTTCAGTGGTGCTGTAAAAATGCTGATTTCGGTTATGTATTCTTTAACTGTGGAGAAAACACACTGCTTGGGGAATGCTTGATAACTGTATAAAAATGTACTTATCTTCTGTAAGATAATCTCTACTCTAACTTAAATATGCAGTACAGGTGGCATGTGAGGGCTTTCCCTCCCTTCTTACACTCATTCTCTTTCAGAATGAATTTAATTCTAGTGATTCGTTTTAACATCTTCCGGAAATATATAATTCCTACCAGAGTTTGATTACTGTGTAAAATACACCAGCATGCTTTTAATAAAGAGTCTACTGTGTTTTAAATTGTGGCCAATGATTTCCTCTTTAGACTGAATCAGACTTCCAATTTTATAGTGTTCCCATAAAGCAATGTTCATGTGAGCTGGACACAGATCTTATTCAAATTCTTGTTCACTATGGCAATACTTCTCTGATTTCAGCAGTCTTGTTCCACTTTGTCATACTGCAAAATCTCTTGTGTTCCACTGGCATTCTTCTCTAAACTCTTTGTTCAGATTGCTTTGAATTTCCTCACTGAAGCAACCCCTGCTCAATGCTTTGGTTGGATATCTCAATTTCTAATGAAACAGTGTGCAAAGTGTCTATATTTCTAAATTGACCAATATGCTGTATTTGATGTGTTAAAAGTATAATTCTCAGTGAATAGTCCAAAGCCAGCCCTGACTTAATGAAAAGGAAATATGTATATATTTCAAGGAAATAAACGGACCAATGAGGATTGACCTACATTCATCAAGGCCACTTAAATATTAAAGGTGTTTGCTTAAACTGTTTTTCTTGCATTCTGTCTACTGCAATGCACATTTCCCCTCTGACATTAATATATATAATATATAAAATATAAATTTCAGTCCAGTCTGCTTGTACCTGTATGATATACATATAGTCCAGTGGTGGGTTTCAAAATTTTTTACTACTGGTTCTGTGGGTGTGGCTTGGTGGGCGTGGCAGGGGAAGGATACTGTAAAATCTCCATTTCCTCCCCAATCCAGGGGAAGGTTACTGCAAAATCCCCATTTCCTCCTGATCAGCTGGGACTCAGGAGGCAGAGAATAGATGGGGGCGGGGCCAGTCAGAATTTTTACTACAGGTTCTTTGAACTACTCAAAATTTCCGCTACCGGTTCTCCAGAACTGGTCAGAACCTGCTGAAACCCACCTCTGATATAGTCTATCTCCACATACATGCCACTCATATGCAGCTATCTATAATCTGTTCTCAAACAGCTGTAAATGGATTTCATGGGCAAATTTTAGTACTGGCATCACCTCTGCAAATTGGATCTAATTGGTTTTCTTCACATTTCTATTTCTGTGAACATCTTGTGTGGTCTTTGGCCACAGAGTTGCTATAAATGCAGCCAAAATATAACATATATCCAGCAAGATGTTTAACTTTTTTTTTTTTTTTTGCTGAGGCACCAGATGCTCAGGTTTGTAACAGAAACTGTCTTCAGGTTTTAAAGCAATGAAGCATGGAGATACGAATTCAAATTCCCATTGGACAACAGAACTACATACAGGTTTCTTACAGTATTTGGTTCCAGTCGTCTACATAGTTGTTCATGAATACCTAAGTACCATTGTTCACAATACACAAGTTTAAGAAGTTACATATCTTATGATTTCTTTCACATCAAATTTTTGATTAGTGCATATAAAACCATGTGAATTGAAGGTAACCAGTTTCTTTATTAATATTTTTAATTTGTTAGTTAATTATTTGAACTTATAGAAATTATCTCACTTTCCTGTATATGAAATATTATGCACAGGTGATGCAGATAAATTGATTGGCTTCTACCAGTGGAGGTCAGTGAAGATTAGATTATAAATGTACAGATATATGTTTAATATGGGTGATTTACTTCCATTAGGAATTTATTTCTACATACATTACTGTCAAATGGAGCTCTAAATAAAACTATATATTTATAAATGTTGTTGATTATTGTTTTTACAGGTATATTGGGATACTGAAGAATATTTAGAAACATTAAACAGTCTGAAAACTTAAAAATCTGATGCACTTTTAATAACAGTAGCTCTTGTGATACAGAAAAAAACCCCACTGTGTTCTGAATCCCCAGAATTCTTAGGATTTCACTGCATATTCTCTTATTTCTTTAATAATTCCAAAATTTATCACTTTAATATATGGATAATCTTTGATGACATCAGCCTCTAAACTGGGAACATAACAAGCAGTTACAAGCTAATATAACTGTTATAGTAAGTATAAAGAAACTGACATTATCAGAAAAACTTTTACAGCACTGATTTCCATTTCTTTTTAAATGTTCAGCCCCCCTGTTGGTTAATTCACAATATGTTAAACTATATGATTAAGAAAATTAAGAGTGATATTTCTATTTCATCATGCTAATGAAAATTAGACATCCCATGACCTTTTGGGATATTGTTTCAGAGATATTTTCTAACTTAAACAAAGAAACTGAATGACCATGGATGGGCAAAAAAGCAGTGGGAGAGGGAATGATTTCCAACATCTGCTGGCTTCCCCATTGATCTTCTTTGTCAAGAAGCATCCAAAATGATGATTGTGTGACTATGGCTGACCACAGCAGTGTGTCACGGCAACACTGAAGCAGCCACAACTTTGCCAAATTTCAATTTTTTAGGACTTATTGGTCCCAGATTTTGGGCTCATTCTTTAAGGTACCTTGATTCAAAAATTGTTCCCCTACAATGTACCATTTTGCCCAATTGAAAGCTACAAATAATCAAACAGACATGAGAGTTTTAGTAGTATATCATTTGGATGGTCTAAAGCAAATACTATTTATGAAGCAATTTTGTTTTACAATAAATGACATCTTATACCCATCTATTAGTATTTCAGTACTGCTAGATTTCAAGGCACTGAAAATGTATTATATAAGAGGATCTTTTGTAAGAGTTCCCATTTGATAGACAATAATTTAATACCCAATATTTGGATTCTTTTATTTATTCTGTTATCTCTCTTCTTCTCCCCCCATATCCCCATTTGTATTTGGAGTTGGCTGAAGCCCACATTATAATTACTATAGGTTGTACCACACAGGACGACATTATAATTGTTATAGGTTGTACCATATATGATGACCAGTTTAATTCCTTGTTATAATATATAAAACCTTTTATTAAATGAACTTCTGCCAGTTACGAATCAGTACAACTTTGCTTTGTGGATCTGATGGTTAAAGTTGACATCACTACTAAGATACACATTGTGAGGATGGAGCACCACAGATTAAATATTTCTGCAGGCAAGTAGACAGACCCACATTTCTCTGGAGTAGGGCCATGTTCCTGCAGCATTGTCTTCAATTTGCCAAAATATTCTACGTAATGTACGGTAAATCATTGTGAGGTGTCTAAATGCTGGACTAGAACTAGAGAACTAGGTTCAGATCCTCTTGAACATGAAGTAAGTTCAGGTCAATAATCTTTCTCTCAGTTGAACATATTTTAGAATTCTCAAAATAGCAATGGGGAATGGATGAATTTGAGACCCATTTACCTCTTTGAGTCAATGTGAAACCAAAAGGGTATGATGGGAAGTTTCTGCGCTCTGTCCATTTTTATATGAGGAAGTTCCAGTTTGTCTCTTCTGTTTTTTTAATAAAATGATGTTCTCCTTTATTTTCAATGTACACAGTGCAATCACTTGAGGAAGTTAGCCTGCAGTTCAGATGGTGATAAGATGATACACTTCTGCTTTCCATCTTCTACCCAGAAAGGTGCTGGACCTCTCAAACAAATATATAGAGGTAGCTTTGAGATGGATGAGGGCAAACTAGGTTGCTCAGATGTGCCATGGTGGAACAGAAATTTACAACCAGTTCTGGATACTGGTGGGGTGTTTCTGGAGGAAGGCTGCAATTGTTTAGGTTCTGTCTGTGGTGTGTAGGAGGATCCATTATGAACCTGGATGCTTTGAGAAGTTCTAGTTATGGGCTATAAATTACAGTCTTTAAAAAGGATAGATAAGATAAACAAATTGACAGTATTATCTATCCTTTTGTTTTATTTCAAGAAAATTGAATTTACACCAGGACCACCAGCTCTTTGCCCAGCCCCTTTAAGGACAGCAGCAAGGAAACAACAGATACAGGCAGGCAGGCAAGCCGACTCAAACTAACGCAAATACAGTCGAGAAGCAACTCATGATCCCCCGAATATGCACAGCCGATCTTTAAAAAAAAAACACAAAACAAAACACCGACCATGTACGTCTGTATATTTCAGAATGCATGCGAGAAAATGCACATACCAAGCCATGATCTCAGCGCGAAGTGGGGGGAAAGATCGCAGCTTTTCCCTTCTCCTGCCAAGTTATCATTGAGAAAACAGACAGGCAGAGTGACGTCCTGGGTCAGACTGAGTGCGGCTCGACTCTACCAAGGAAACAGGGAGGCCCGTGTATCCCTCGGATGCCCACCGCCGCCTTTCTTCCCCTCCTCAGCCTCCCCGCCTGATGCGGAGCAGCTGTTTCAATGGGCCCTGTCCTGCAGGCAAGCTTACCCATCCCCAGGCAGCTGCTTGAGGAGGGGGGCTCGGGCTGCCTCGGACCAGCATCTCCCCCCTTCTCCGGCTGAGGTCGCGGAAGCCCAGTGAAAGGAGGCGTGTGTAAAGATTTTGCAATGTCCCTGCATGGTGTTGTAGACTTTCCTAGCAAAAAAACCGGCTTCGGCTTCTTTTCAAGCCCCGGCGACTCACCTGATTAACCCGCCTGCGGTTCTGCCCTGACCAGGTAAACCGAGTCCAGACCTTATATCATCATACACATCTGGAAGCAAACATCGCACCCGGGGCATTTTTATTTCCTTTTTTTTTTTTACCCCTTTTACAAATTGGAGAAGCTGATAGCGCTGTTACACTCCTCTTCCTCTCCTCCGCTCCTACCCCCAGACCCTCTTCCGTGGGACTTGCTTAGGAGTCCGTTCTTTTTCGTGGGAATCAAAGGGTCAAAGCTGCCAACCAGGCATTATTGATTTTCTCTCTTTCTCTCTCCCTCTCCCTCTCTCCTCCGAGTGTTCGCCTTCGCTCTTTGCCATTTTAAGGGACAGTGCAGTTTTATTTTGTTTTGTTGTTTATGGGTATCCCTGACAGGTTCGGTTCTTGCTGGTTTTGTTCCGATTTTGCCCTTTGTGATAAAAGCATTGATTTATTAAACATACGGTGGTGTGTGTGTGTGTGTGGAGGGGGGGAGTAAAGTGCGGGGTGGGGGGGGAGTTAACAGGATGGGAGCGAAGGACGACTTTAAAGCTACTACCAGTTTGGTATGCTGGGAATCGTACCTGTGTTTGTTTATTATTACGTGCTGCTGCCCGGAATGTACCCCGTCCCACTTCTCCTTGAGCTCCTTTCAAGGATCTGAGAAGTTCCGTTCTCCCCAGTTTTGCCAATCGGTTGCAACCTTTACTGTCTCTCCTCCTCTACTGCCAAGGGCAGCGCGGTCCGTCCGAGGACCTTGGTACACGGAACAGTGCACGAAAAGCTACGAATGGGGCCAGTAATCCGGGAAGAGATAGTAGCGCCTCTCTTCCCTCCCTTCTCTCCCTCCCTTCCTCTCCTTCTTTCTTAAAACACTCTGTAAGAGTGATTTATAAGAGCCAAAGAGGCCTGCCAGTTAATGCCAGGAAATTTATTATCATTTGTTATCTAACAGTCTGTCTATCTCCATATATCTATCTATTCTTCTGCTTATTAATACGATTTTGCTACATGACGCTGCTTGTCTGAGGCTGTTTAGGCTTCTGTGCTGTAAACTGAGGAATAAATACCATTCAGTACAACGAGCTTTCAACTTAATATGAACTGAGCTGTACACTGGAGAATAAGCTTTTCTGAAGTGGGACATGTGTGTGTGTGAGAGAGAGAGAGAGAGGGAGAGGGAGAGAGAGAGAGAGAGAGAGAGAGAGAGAGAGAGAGAGAGAGAGAGATTGGACACTGATGAATGGTGCAGAGCTGCTCACAAAATCAAGAGTTGTGTGGCATTGTGGCATGAAGTTCTTATACCCCCTTCTAAACTAAAAGCTTATGGTATGACAAAAAATGGCCGTACCAGACATATTAATATAATGGCAATATATCTTCATCCTTCTCTGATGCACAGTATACATTATTTGTACTAATTTGAAGAGCGTTACTGCTGTAAAAGCAGAAAGAAAAGATGGACAAGGTATGTGTGCATGTACAGTGAACCCTTTTTTAGGAGATATGAGTTGGGGATATAAGTACCTTCCTTCTGTGAATTGCTTCACAGTTTCTGTTGCCTTAGGTGATGGCTCAAAAGTCTTTGCATTTGGCTCAAAAGCATGTATCTTGATATGTATATAATGTACATATATTGCAACATAGGCATGGAGTATGCAAAAATGGAATTCAAAACATTTTGCATCCCCTTATTTGTTGCTTTTACACTTTTCTAACACTGAAATCTTTTCTAAAATCTCAAACTTCACATCTGCATGTATAATAATTAATCAAAGAAATAAACAAGTGTGCAAAGGAGAACACCCTTTGTTTATGTAGGGGAAAACAAATATGGTCATTTGTCTTTACCTTCTGAGTAAAGAAGGTCTGAGTAAAGAAGGTCTTTACCTTTACCTTGTCTTTACCTTCTGAGTAACTTGAAAAGAGGGTTGATAACCAGGGCCTTTATGGTTATTTTTTTTAAACTTCATATGAAAATGGAGTTGGAAAGTTACCCTTGGACTACAGTATTGGGCTCCAAAGACTCAGGAGAAACTGGTGGTGGAGGAAGTTTGGGTCAGGTGTGGTGATTATTCAGGTTTGTATATTTTGTAAGCCTTATGAAATGGGCTGCAGGGAAAAACTCTGACAAAGGAATACAAGAACTGTTAGCCAGAACCATTAGGAGATAATAAGGGATAAAGTAAAGACAACTTAGTCCTAAGGAAGCAGGGAGTGTGAGAAAGAGACTCCAAATAACCCACCTTGATTCTACAAGGTACAAGGGAGGACTCCGGCAGGCTTTCCAGACTCTGTTATTATAATCTGCAACATGTTTCTCAACCTTGGCACTGTTAAGATGTATGGGCTTCAACTCCCAGAATTCCCCCAGCCAACAAGGAAATTCTAGGAGTAAGGCTGGCTGAGGAATTCTGGGAGTTGAAGCCCATACATCTTAAAGTCTATGGAGATTCTCAGTCATTCAGGTCATGGTTGTCCCAAAGGTGCTTTTTCCAAGAAGCAACTGGACTTTCTGGTTTTTCTTTGAGGACGTTTTGCTTCTCATCCAAGAAGCTTCTTCAGCTCTGATTGGATGGTCAGTCCTTCCATTCCCCACCAACATTTCTGTTGTTAAGTGAAACATTGGTTAAGTGAGTTTTGCCCCACTTTACGACTTTTCTTGCCACGGTGAATCACTGCAGTTGATAAATTAGTATCCTGGTTGTTAAGTGAATCTGCCTTCCCCATTGACTTTGCTTGTCAGAAGGTCGCAAAAGATGATCATGTGATCCTGGGACACAGCAAAGGTCATAAATATGAATCATCTAAGTTTTGATCACATGATCAAGGGGATGCTGCAAAGGTCGTAACTTTTCATAACTTTTTTTCATAACAGTCATTAGTCACATTTTTTCAGTGTCATTGTAACTTTGAACGGTCACTAAATGAATTGTTGTAAGTCAGGGACTACCTGAATTAGTCCTCCCAGTAAACCAGACAGGAAACACAACAAGATGAGCTAATTGTGCTCTATTGAAAAACTACATGAACAGAATCTTGCAAGTCTGAAAGTACAGATCTCCCCCTGTTACTTTTAACTGCCTGGTCCATTAGGGCGGGTCTTTCTTAAGTTCTTTCTCTGTTAAGCAACTGTGGGCTTCCCCCTCTTGTTTCCTAGGCAGCTTTTCTTCCTCCCATCCCTCAAGATTATTCTCACATACCATTACAGTGTGTGAGTTACAGTCTTCCCATTTAGAAGGCATCGAACTGGTGAAAGATGCCATTATAGACTGCTGTCTTCTGTAATAGATCCCACTTCAAGGCATGTAACAGTTCAGTAGAATAAATATTGCAGTAGAATCTCCTGGAAGCAATCTCTGTTGAATCCAGTATATTATATCCCACAAAGTTTCTTTCTCTCTCTCCAGAATGTACATGGGGTACAGGAAGGAGGATTGAAAGTCTTCGTACTGCCCAAATAAAAGTGTATTGGGGTAGGAATTTCTGGCTAATTCTAAAATTGCACAATATAACAAACAAGCTTATAAGAGCCTGGTGGCACAGCAGACTAATAGCCTGTTATTAACATTCAGCTGCCTGCAATTACTGCAAGTTCGAATCTCCCCAGGCTCAAGGTTGACTCAGCCTTCCATCCTTTCTAAGGTAGGTAAATTGAGGACCCAGTTTGTGGGGGTAATAAGCTGATTTTGTACAAATATACAAAAGTATGAAGGCTATTGCCTTAACACATTGTAAGCCGCCCTGAGTCTCCGGAGAAGGGCGGTATATAAATCAAATTATATATATATAATATATATATATATATAGAGAGAGAGAGAGGTGAGGACTCAAGAAGTCTTTGCTTTTTCCCCTTCTGGCTCATGATTATGGATATATCATTAGTTAAATTGTCATATTAAAGGGAGAGAACTCAGAAATTAAAATGATTTGCAGTCCCCATTCTTCATTTCTCTGCCTTTAGAAGCAGTTATTTGATACATAAAGCGTGATGACTTCACTGAATATTTTGACTACAAACATGCATGGAACCCTCAAGTAGCATTTGATGACCGTACAGGTGCTGAAGGTCACAGCAGATTGTGGCCTACTGGGCAGTAGCAGAGATGCGGTGGCGAAAATAGGAGGCAAGAACATTATGTGCATCACTTTGAGATGTACAAAATAAAGTTGGACTATAAAGTTGGACTGTAATAATAATAATAACCAATACAGTTTGGTTGTTTTATCCTGTTTTGCTTTTAATTATTACCCACCCAAAGTCATATATGATTTTATGACTGTAATTTTGTTGCTTGTATCCTTATGATTTATATTGATATTGTTTCCTGATCGCTTATTTCTACCCTATGACTATCATTAAGTGTTGTACCTTATGATTCTTGGTGAACATATCTTTTCTTTTACATACACTGAGAGCATAGGCACCAAGACAAATTCCTTGCGTGTCCAATCACACTTGGCCAATAAAAAAAATTCTCTATTCATCTGTCTCTCTCTCTCTCTATGAAATGGGTGGCTATATAATGTATTAAACAAATAACTAAATAATAACACCAATAATAATAGCTAGAATGAGGATTGTTTCAGTTTGTGAATATGCTAATGCTATATGGAATTATTTTAACAATTTAGATGTTTGATACATTGTCTACATAACAGTATGTAAATGGAGTAATGATAATCTGTAATT